AGGTCCCCTTTAAGCAGAGTGCAGAGCTGAACCCTTTCAGTAGCAACTTACCAGCAATTTCTCATTATTATCATTCAGTAAGTGGCCGACTAGAAAGCTGTTAATGAAAGAAATAAAGCTACTTTGAAAATCATGGTTATATTTGATAACTTTGAGCAATGTCAAGTATACCACTTTTGTATAATGTACCTCGTAAATCAAAGTAAGTAAAGTAGTCATTGTTATGATTTAGAAACGCAAGTCAACTTCTCCGACTGGTAAAAATAAAACAACATCCTCCAAATCAAACTGCTTCATAATTCCATGTGATCATTTTCAGCTATATATTTATTTTGTACAATAAAGACATTTGCAGATGAATTTGAGTGAGAGCATTATTTGTTTTCAACTTTTTATAGATAGTGCGATAATATCGTGATTTTGTTTACCAACGATAATTATCTAGGGAAATCTGATGTTATACACTTTTGTTTAATTTATAAGAGATCAACCAAATTTGAATTGGAATATTGGTCATAAAAAATGCATTTTTATATGTTTAATTATCTGTTCAGCTCCCATATATAAGATATTTAGGGAGATGTATGCATGGAGGATGATCAAGCCCTCTCTATGTTGCCTGATGTGGCACAGTTACCACATGTGGGGGCGAGGATATAGAGTGAGTTAGTGCAGAATGATAAATCCTGGCAGAGGCCCGTGTGTGTGAGCCATGGCTGTCATGCAAGCCTGATATCATTTCAGAGCTGGGTCGCTGCCGAGTGTGTGTTTGATAGATGTGGGTCTGCAGTGTGTGTGTGTGTGTGTGTGTGTGTGTGTGTGTGTGTGTGTGTTGTCAGACTAACCATCGTCCTTTTTACAGCTTTGTGTCGAATGTGTGGGAGAAACATAAACATCCTCACGATAGTTGGTGATTTGATAACGTATTGATATTTTTGTCTATAGAAATGCAAGTTAACTTCTCTGACTGCTTTAAATAAGGCAACATCTTCGAGATCAAACAACTGCATAACGGCCCGTCTACACTACAGGCGTCAAAAAATGCTTTCAACGCTTCGCCCATTCATTTGAATGGGGTGACGTAGGATATTTTCAAACTTCGCCGAACTGCATTGTGGGTAGCATGGCAAGGCGTTGCAAGCGTTGCGAGCGTCTATCGGCGTCAAAAGTTGAACAATGTTCAACTTTTGAGGCTCGATGCTTGCTCGAAGCTGGCGTCAGCCAATCAAATCCCGTTTTTGCAATTCCCGCCAGTACAAGCGCTAGCCAATCAAACCGCGTGCAAGCTGGGAGAGCCAGACCGCAGTTCATTCCCTCATATTCCAACGAGAAATTACGGTAGCAAATCACCCGGTTCTTTCCGACCAGAACTATTTACCGGGATACAAACCGGAGGAACCAGGCATGGAGGGAGGTGGCAGAGACAGTGGGTGAAACTGGTAGGTTTTCGCCTGTTTGGGGATTTTATATCCAGTTTACTTCGTTTTAACATTGCTATTGCTTTGTATGTCGGGGGCGGGAGATTCATGTGATTGGTTGTTGGTCGCGTTGCTCGCAAAAAATCGCCAAGCTTCAGACACACCCAGCTTCAAGATTTTTTGATGCCTGTAGTGTAGACGGGCCGTAATTCAGTGCGATTATTTTCAACAATATACATTTTTTGCACAATAAACAAAGTTATAAATTAATTTGACTGATAGCTCATTTTTAGTCTACTTTTCTTTAGATATTGCGATAATATCATGAAATCTTTGTTATCGTCTAGTGAGGATTTTACCATCCTGTTTAATTCATAAGAGATAATCCAAGGCTAAATGGGAATATGGGTCAGCCTGCATGCCTTGTTACAGCTTTGTGTCAAATGTGTTGGAGATAAAGATCCTCACTATAGTTAGTGATTTAATAACTTATTGATGGTTTTGTGTCTTTAATCTGTTTATGTTGTTCATGGATTAAAACGGCTGCTTGGGTGATAAAAATCCCCAACAATATCTGTAAAATAAATATATTTTTAGTTCAATTTGTTTGTTTATGCATCGTAATGTGCAAGCTCAAGAGGCACAGCAGCTGCTCCAATCTACAAACAGTCCTCTCAGTGCTTTGGAAAGTTTCAAGTTCTCAGAGTGGTATTGATTGCCTCCAATCAATACCAGTGGGCAACCCAATTGGGTCTCAATGACTTCTGTGTGTGTGTGTGTGTGTGTGTGTGTGTGTGTGTGTGTGTGTGTGTGTGTGTGTGTGTGTGTGTGTGTGTGTGTGTGTGTGTGTGTGTGTGTGTGTGTGTGTGTGTGTGTGTGTGTGTGTGTGTGTGCGTGTGTCTTTGTATATGTGCATGTGCATGTGTGTTTCTTTGTATGCGTGCATGTGCATGTGTGTGTGTTTCTTTGTATGTGTGCATGTGCATGTGTGTGTGTTTATTTGTATGTGTGCATGTGCATGTGTGTGTGTGTGTGTGTGTGTGTTTCTTTGTATGTGTGCATGTGCATGTGTGTGTGTACATGGGCAATGTGTGGAAAGAAATGGACCGTATAGTAGTGAAATGTTCTGTGTGTATGTGTGTAAGTGTTTGTGTGAGTAAGTGAATATGTAGGCATGTGCATGGGTGTATGTGTGTGTGTGCACATATCAGATGAGACAAAAAAAATTGCATTGATTGTATATGGCCAAAACAAAAATCAATATTGGTGTTTTTAAAGCACAACATGTTATCCTTTGTTGTTTGTGTTTATTCTATAGCAAACAAATAAATCCAGAACAATCTCAGAGAAAGAGAAGTGTATCAAATCAATGAGAACTTAATGAGAAGATGTTTTCCTCTCTTGATATTGGCATGCATCACTGTGAGTTATCTCAGCTTTATTTCCATAGAAAAACTCTGTATGGATGTTACCTTCTCTCAAACTGTAATACATGGGGGCCATTGTGTTTCTTTCAAATGTCTCATTTCTATTTACACAAGTTAAGAGCAGATCTGACCAGGCAGCCTCGCTCTCTGCTGCGTCTATCCAGTGAATTACAATTCAAGGTTGATTTTAAGCTGCACTTGAATCTCTGATTTTCTCTAACTGGCCTCCGTCTGAAAAAAAAGGCCATGAGTGACAGCACACAGCAGAAAATCAAATATGCAGAGTCACCAGACAAATACTGGGCCATGTTTTGTAATATCAAAACAAACCGAGACAGCAAGAGCTCTCAAGTGCCCGAGCCCCTCCCCGCTGGGTCTGAAATGACTGTGTCAATAGCACCAAGGCCGGAGATAAAGGTTTGGTGTTACTACTCAAGATTACAGAGAGAGACAAGCTGACACACTGAGCGGGAACGAGTATTTATGTGTGTGTGATAGCAAAATAACAAGTGCAGGGGAAGGAGAAAGATAGATGTAGGGAGGAGAGGGACAGATAGCAGCATTAGCCAGCCCGTTTCCCCTCCCCCCCCCCCCCCCATGCTGTCTGATCCGGAGCGAATGTTGGGGTTGTGGGACATGCTTTGCATTTTCATCCTCGAGGCTTACCATTCAGCATTTTAAAGCTTCATTTAGTCATTCTGGCTTTTTTTCTTCAAGAACACAGAAATGAATAAGTCACATCGGGTATCTTTAGGAGATATTTTTTCCTCTGCTAGTTTGCTGATCTTAGAAAGAAATTCTAGTGGGAGAGGATAGACAATCATCTAATGAAAGCTCTTAACAGTATTTGCTATTTGTATGACCTCTAAGTGGATATAGAAGAGGATTATACAGCAGACAGAAGGTTGGAGAATCCTCTATTGATCAGCTCCACCTCTGAAGTAGTGTACATCAGCCAACTATAATATATATAAACTAAACTACAGCCTTGTAGACACTAATAGCTAAAGAGGACTTAAACACAGGTCCAGTTCAGAGTGCCACCATGTTAATGACTGAGGTATATCCACTCAAGCATTTGACATGAAGCCATACTGGCTGACACCTGTCAAGCTTTGAACAGTACAAGACCCTCCCACAAGCATCTCTCATGCCAGTTCTTCTGAATGACGTGCATATTGATATTCGATTAGTTTGAAGTCCAAGAGTAATTAAATGAATGATGGATTGAGCTAAGTGAAAAGAGGGTGGGAAGCATATGACAATTCATACATTCTGCTGATACCTTTTTTTTCCTTAATAGGTCAATTCATTCGGACAAAAAAGTGCAAGGTTTGTGAGCCAAACATGTCTAATGACATTTACTTTTCCTCAAATATTTTGCAATAGCTCTGAGGAAGTTTTCACAGCGCCTTTCATTTTTCAGTAATGTCGCATAATACCTAAATCCATCCCCATCAAGTAAGAGGATAGGAGGGGTGAATCATGTGTTTCCAAAAAGGCGCCAGGCTCTCTCACTGCCCATAAATCTGATTCCGTGTTCCAGAGGAGCCCTCTCTCCCTCATGGGCTGTCAATAGCCCTCCACTGACCTTGTGAAACATTGACTATTCCCCAAAGTGAGCTCACCTGGCTGAAACACAACACACGTCCACTCCTGTCTCAGTCCATCCGAGCAGGAGACTAAAGCCTGAAGAGATCTGGAGTGGTAATAGCAATTGAAGGGATGCCTGTGTGTTTCAGCACTAAAAACTACACAAATATGATTTGGAGACATTCAAACACAGAACAGAACAGGCGTGCATGGGAGGGGAATATTTAGTAAATATGCGAAAACAACTATCATCCTTTGCACACTTGCATTAATCTCCTCGTCAGTTCGTCTCCAACGTATAGCATAAGTAACACATCGTGTCCGCTAAACACAAGTATAGCCAGAGGGACAGTGTGATCTGCGGGTTTGTTTAGACATTATGACAAGAACACAAGTACCAGTGCCCGGGGAGTGGAGGAAAGCTCCTGGGCAGATTCAGTTTCTACAGTGCAGAGATTCACCCGAGAGCCACATTATCAAACTCGGCGTGGTAACACTGCGCCAACACAGATGCACCACTCCTCATAAACCCATAGCGCAACTGTAGGTAGTGTGAACGTACCTGGTTTTTATGCCGAGTCCCATCTTCGAGTTCTGAAGAGCTGTTCATGATTCCCCATTGGTCATTTACCACGTACTACGGAGAATCTGCGCATCAGAGCCGCCTGTTTGTTCCCGGCGAAACAGAATAAACCCGCTCCTTTCAAGTCTTTACCTGTGATTAAGACTACTCCATGGACAAATTGGGTATTAAACGTGGAAAAAAACAAGGGAGGCACAACTAGGCTACTTCTGCGGCTCAGCACCTGCACGCATCGACCAAATTACGCACCAAAAATGCCTCCCGAGAGTCTCCTGATTATCTGGCCATTATTCCAATTAAAAATAATGAAAAGCAGTGTTCACGGGCTCCAGGGTTTGTAATATGACTCACGATCGTGCCAGAATTATGCCGGATTTCAGAATAAACAAAAATCAACCCCAAAATGATTCCGAAAGAAAGTCGCAGTCCTTTTACTCCAAAAAAGAAACCGAGAAAATCTTCTCAGATTGCAAAGTGCAACCTGACTTTTTAGTCCATCCACTCCCGTTTCCAGGGGACTTCAGAACGCCAGGTTAGGGTCCAGAACAGTTAACGCGGGGGTGGGATAGCAGCTGCGTTCCTTTTCCTGCTTTATTTAGAAGACTCCGAGTCCGAGGGGATGGAGAGAAAGAGCCTCCCTTATTTGCGCCAGGCTGCTCTGGCTGGTGTTACACAGAGTTGTCTTTGACGAGGCGGGTGAGGGCTGGGAAGGATTTGCGAGCTCCGCTAGTGTGCCGCACGGCGTGCTCAGTGCCTCCGACTGTCAATCAGTGCGTCCCTGCGGTGCGCACGCCGCGCTCCAAGGCAGCGTTCCCTCCCTGCGCCGGCCTCCTCAGCTGCTGCTGCGCCACCCCGCCTGCTGCTCCGCTTCCAAAGCACCGTGGACCTTCCTGTTCTACTGCAACCCAAACGGGAGCACATTGATGGTGCATATGTAGACTACAGACTGTGTAATGGGTTAATGTAACAGAATCCCTGAGAGCAGGTTGATGACAAAACCCTCCTGCAGGATGAGAAATGTGTGCAAATGTCTTAAAGCTTGCAACACGTTACAAAGAGTCTCTACCCATATTGTGTTTACCAGATAAGATTTAGTGATAATCTCGAAGTGTGAATGACAGTGTGACAACACCAAACACTTGTAAGTGACTTAAGTGACAGCTTTTGGAAATGGAGCTACTTTCTTAGTTTAAAGCAGAGGCAGTAGTATAAGATCTTAAACGCATTTATCATTTAGCCTTTCTATATTTTATTGCACACAAATTAACTGAAAACCACAAGAAACCTTTCCAAGATGTATCACAGTTTCTCTGAGGTCATCCCGGAGATCATTGCATATTGTATGTGCAAAAAGTGCAAATGAAGTGACTGGACAATGCAAGATAGGCTACAGGAAACACTCTGAACACATGACAGTAATGAGCAATAATAATGAAAGTATAGGAAGATGCACCGAGCTGATTAAGAGGCTTGGGTCTGATTTCCAAACAGGAAACACTCACTGTATTAACCACTAATTATTATAAAGGGTTATCACAGGGCACTTGAAGAACCCAGCTGGGTTAACATGAAAGCTCTTTGAACTCCAGATATAAATTAATCAACACGTTCCTTCAGAAATCAATTTCCTCATGGACAGTTTTCAGTGAGCGGTGTTGACAGGAAGCACAGCACCAAAGACACCCCCCCCCCCCATCCTCTTATAGACAGTCATTAATGTCAATAATGTGGTCCAGCAGGGTTGTCATATTTTTGCTCAGTTAAAGAACAGATGATTAGAGGTCTGATCATTGGTGCGGGGACTGAGGCACGTGTAAGGTTATTCATCCCTGTGATAAACCTGTACCCACCAGTAGGGAGGGGGAGAGGAAAATGCAAAATAGGGTCACTGCTGCACAATGTGCATTGTCAGCAGGTCTTACATCCCCAAGTGGATTGAGGGTATGTAAATAAGGGGAATACTTTGTCACGGATGACAGGATCTAGAACAAATAGCAAGTTAAATGTTATGAAATACTGCATAACCTTTTTTGTGTTCTGAGACTTTATTTATTGTGTAAAAAATTAAATAATTGTCTTGTGGATCAGCGTATCAACATTTGGCGCTTTCACAGAGTACTTTTCCCCGTACTTTTACCTTTTAGTTCCGATAGTTCCTGGGATTTTGCGTTCACACCAAAAAGAGAACTAGTTCATTAGAACTTCCCCCCCCCCTTTTAAGTCCCTGCTAGAAAGCAGGTACTTTCCTGGGGAGAAAAAAGTTCCAATTTCTGATTGGCTGGGCGAATTGCAAACCACGCCCCGTAAAACTCGGAAAAGTTTTGTGAAGCCGCCATTGTATTTGATGGCATTATCATTATTAGCATTAGCCCCACGCACCAACGCAGAGAGACTAACTTATGGCAACACAAAATAAAACATGGGAGCGGTGGAGATGAGGAGGTGTCGGCGTTCTGGCGATTTACTCGGAAGGCTTCAGTAGAAGCTGCTGGGAGTCCCAGCAGCTTCTGAGTGATTCTACAATTTAGGGTACATTCCATGTCCATCGATGTCAATTGATGATAATTATAATTATTCTTTCTATTTTCTTCAAAAATATCATATTTTGCCTATTATTGGAAAGCATGTTATAATATCACACAAACATTATGTGCATTCTATACTTAGTTTAGCTTGAAATGTGTCATGATGTTCTTGATGACAGTTTTTGCTCTGTCCGTTTTTCAGTTGAGGGTGTCTTGGTTTCAAAATAATGAATAAAAACCATTAAAGTAAATAAAAACTATTATTCATTTATTTCAAAAGTCTAAATACTAAAGATTAATCATATTTTTTTTATTGATTTCCTCCTTTAAATAATTTAAATATCTTAATATATGAATGTCCGCAAAAGTTCTGTGAACTATGTTACAAACAGAACTCCCCCCTTTAACTCAAACATGGTTTGTCCCAATACCATGTCACCAGCATCACATGATGCCATGTTCCTCTTTGGCTGACATTTTGAACACACTGTGGTGAGTGTCCTCTAATTTTTTACAATATTCTATGTATAATAGCACATTGTCAATGAGTATATTAATTGACCATCAACAATGTTACGTACATTGTTATGGTTTAAAGTTGTTTAATGATTTTAATTCAATGATATGTTCAAATGTGATGTTAACCTGTTCAAGAAAATGACATGTGGTCATCCAGGCAAGGCCTACCATTGAAATGATGGGTCAAAATAGGGAAATTGTCAACTAGGTTACCTGTCAACTAAGTTACTGGGTAACTTAGTTGACAGGTAACCTAGTTAACAATTTGTATGACATGTAGACGTCATTACACAGCATTATCATTCTACATATGTCACAACACACTTTTTTATCCAATTATTTAAAATAGATGTCAGCAGCTGAGAAACAGCGGAGATACAGGGCTCGTCGAGATGCTGATCCTGCAAGAAGGGCAGCATATTTAGAGAAGCAGAGAGAGGCATGGCACAGGTTCAGATCAGAAGGAAAGGTGAAAACAGTGGCAGAGATGAGTGACAGAGATAAAATAAGCAAGAGGGCCTATTGGAGGAAGGCACAGCAGAGAAGCAGAGAAAGACAGCACAGGCTTGACAACTTAGCTACACCACCAGACAGTCCAGACAGCCAAGTTGAAGTTGTCCATCAACCTCAGGAAACAAGGTAGAAACAGGTTTATGTTTTCAACAGGAAAATTGTGTAACAAAGTAGAAGGTTTCCATTAATATGCTGTATACACAGCACATTATCTGTAACGTAATTTATTTTGTTAATTTCAGACAGAAAAAAGCAGGAAGAAAAAAGGCCAGGAGAGAACACTCAAAATTGCACAGAGAAATACAAAAACTGAAACATTTGCTCGGGAAACAAAAAAAACAACAGACAAACTACGCAAAAGACTCAAAAGACGCTGTGCGGTCTCAGAGTCCCCGGCATCAAAAACAAGGCGACTGCTACACAATGTCCATGTTTCTGGCGAAGTGCGGGGATCATTGCTTGCTCATCATGCCCTCATGGCCAACATCAAGGACGCCTTTGCCACCACCAAAAGGAGAACACACAGGCAGGCAATGTCACAAATTCTAACTGGGAGGATCCTTAAAAAGTATGGATTACAAAAAGAAGTTTGTACAGCACTTCACATCTCCAGAAAGAGGAACAAGAATCCTGCTCAAGGCAATATAAAGTACCGAAGCATATGCTTCCGAATTCAAGACAGCGTCATTGCTTACCTGACGAGGGATGAAAGCAGCTGATTGACAGCAGGCAAAGCACAAACAATCACCAGGCGGAAGATAAAGAAACAGAAGAGGTTTATAAATGATACCCTGAGAAACCTCCACAGGAGATTTCTCACTGAACATCCTAATTACAATCTCTCTTACTCCTTGTTGTGTCGTACCCCTTCTGGGTAGTTAACCCAACACTTGCAGGCAGACAAACCTGTCTTTGCAAGGTTCATGAGAATCTTTCCTTTCTGGCTGAAAAGCTTCACACTCTCAAGTTAAATAGGAGCGTGGACATGGAAGACCTGACATCAATAAACTGCAATCCAAATTCAAAGGACTGCATGTACAACGAGTGTCTCCACTGCAAAGGACAGGAGTTTGCCATAGCAGCAGAAGTTAACCTTCAGGCAAATGTCGAACTCACTCAGTGGTCAACTGAAACAGTCATCAGAGAAAAGAAAAACAAAGATGGTAAAAAGGACAAGGTCCCCATGAAAATCACTGTGAAGAAGAAAAAGGACATAGTGTTGGCGGATCTGCTGGAGATGTTTCAAGGCCAATTGAGACATTTCAAACGGCATACATATAACATTAAAAGCCAGTTCACCCACTACCGTGAATTAAGAAAAAGCATGACCAACCAAGAATGCTTGATTCATGTGGATTTTTCAGAGAACTACTCATGTAAGCTTGCAGCAGAAATCCAGGCAATGCACTTTGCCCCAAACCAGAAGCAAGCAACGCTCCACACAGGAATTCTTCATGTTGGTGGGACAGCAGAGCACATGTGCTTTGGCACAATTTCGGCATCAAAGGAGAAAGGCCCACCTGCCATTTGGGCACATTTGTCCCCCATCCTGGATGAAGTGAAGGCCTCGTATCCTTCTGTCGAGGTGGTGCATTTCTTCAGTGACGGTCCATGCACGCAATACAGACAGAAGGGAAACTTCTTCCTCTTTAGCACAGAGCTGATGAACCGTGGTTTCAAAAGTGGGACATGGAACTTTTTTGAAGCAAGCCATGGGAAGGGTGCTCCAGATGGAGTGGGAGGCCTCCTGAAGCGAACGGCTGACAGGCTTGTTAGCCAAGGTCATGACATCCCTTCAGCAGAACATCTCTACAGTGCTTTGGTCAACAGCGGAACAGTTAGGGTGTTCTACATCAGAGAGAATCTTGTGGATGAAGCAATTAACAAGATGCCAAGTCATCTGCCAGCAGTGCCCTCAACTATGCGTATCCACCAGGTGGTCACAGGGGCACCAGGAGAGATCTTGTATCGAGATGTAAGTTGCCCTTGCACCGCCAGACAAAGTTATGAGTATCGCTGTGATGACACTCATACTTTTAGTTTTGAGGTTCAGCAAACGACCCCTTCGCTGCCTCAAGCACCTAAAGGCAACAGCAAAGAGAATGAAAGGCTGTGGGGTCCTGATTCAATTGGCCAGTGGTGTGCCCTTAAATATGATGAAGACATTTACCCAGGAGTCATTCAGGAGGTCATGGACACACATGTGCAGGTAAAGTGCATGCACATTGCCGGAGTCAACCGGTTCTTCTGGCCACTGAGAGAGGATGTGCTTTTGTACCCTTTTGAGGACATTTTGAGAGTGATTCCTCCTCCAAAGTCAGTGACCTCACGCCACATGGAGATTGACAAAGACATCTGGTCTA